ACTTTCCAACTGCTCCTGAGCCCTAAGCTATTCCACAGTAGTAGTTTATAATATAAATGCTTATACACTGTATGAGTTGTTTGTCTCATTGCTGTGATAAAATAACTAACCAAAACAGCTTAAGCTTCACAGGGAGGCTTTACTGTGGCTCACAGTTCCAAGAGACACAGTCCGTCATGGTGGGGAATGCACCACAGCAGGACTGGAGGCAGCTGGTCCCAGTGTATCCACTTACGAAACAGAGAGCAATGAATGCTTGGGCTCAGCTTCTTTCCCCCTGAAATGAGGAGCTCAGCAGCTGGAAGGGACAGAGGGTGTCACCAGAGTGGAAGACAAAAGGACAGACGTCCTCTCTGAGATGTGAGAGTGGAGCTCAGGAGTAGAGAACATGCTCAGTATGCGTGAGGACCTGTGTCCCATCTTCAGCACGACCCAACAGCAAACAGCAAAAGCCCTACAGAGGACAGAAGAACGTAGCTCAGTACATTTCAGAAACATTTGAATGATAAATGAGAACAAGTTAGTGGTCCCCTGGGGTAAATAACAGGAGGCGGGGTATTGACTTGCTATGGGACAGATGGGACAGTTACATACTCCATCACGAGGGATCTTCTGCATGGTGCCAGTATTTTTCCATCATGACTGTACCCAGGTCAATATCCTGAGATACTGCATTATGGTTTTACAAGATGTTGCTATTGTGAAAAAGTGGAGTTTGTCTGTGTAATGGCTAGCACTGACTGTCAATTTGACAGGACCTGGAATCACCTAAGAATTGAGGCACAGCTATGGGACCCACCCTAAACATGGGTGGCATCATTCTCTGGACAGGAATTTTTGAACTGAATAAAAAAGAAGAAGGAAGCAGGGTGAGCACATGCATTTGTCTCTCTCTGCTTCCTGACTGTGGGTGCAATGGGACCAGCTGCCTCAAGCTCAGGTACCCTGGAACTGTGAGCTGATGTAAAGCCTTTTATCGCAGTGATGAGAACAGCCAACTAAGACTGTCTGTATCATTTCTTACAAGTTCATGTGGATCTATAATTGTCTCAAAGCCAAAATTTAATTTAACTTAAGGAGATTCAAGCACCTGGGTCCCAGATCAGACCAATAAAATCAGAACCTTTGGGCTCGGACCCCGGGCATCGGTATTGGAAACGTTTCCCCAACAGATTCTCACATACCGAGAATCGCTGCTTTAACAACACATGATCAATATTTTCCCAGGTCAAATAATTCTGCACCACAGTCTTCAGTGGCAGTGTCACATTTCAGCATTTGAGTGTGCCAGGATCCGTTTAAACAATGCCCTACTATTTGACGACTTGTTTTCGGTGTACTGCAGTTATAAATAAATATACTTCAAGATTAATGTTTGGACACATCTATCATTATATCCTTTATTAGAGCATGAATATGTTTGAGGTTCTCAATCCATCGTGCCAAGCTGGCACCAGGGGAGGTTGGGCAATCCCAGCAGTTCCTGTGTATTGTTTCCCCAACACAGGATACTGGAAGCCAGCATCATCCCTCAGGTCCACGCCAGTTTTGTGGGGGAGAGTTTCTCTTTCATGCTTTAGTGTACGTTTTTGAGGGAGGTTTTTTTTCCCACATATTCATTGCCTATGTGTATTTACTTCTCTGTGAATTCACATGGCATTCCCATCTTCTAACAGTGTGGGGGTTTTCCTGTAAGAGATCTTAGAGTCAGTAAAGGAGGTTCACTCTTTCCTGTCGTATATGCTGCAAGGATTTCCCACAGCCTTTCTTTTTCCCTTCTTTTCTTTTTGAGACAGAATCTCAAGGCTAACCTCTAACTCAACCCACAGCCAAGGATGGCCTTGAACTCCTGACCCTCCTGCCTGCTGTAATTACATGCATATGCCACCATGCCTAGAGCCTTTGCAGAGCTGGGAATCTAACCTACAGTTTTTGTGCATGGTATGTGAGTACTCTACCAATGAACTATATCCCAGTCCTCAAATTCGTCAATCACCATTTAATCTGGTAAAGTTCTTTTAATTTATATTTATTATGTGTGTGTGTGTGTGCGCGCACGCGCATGCGTGTGTCTGCGGGTGTGCATGTATGTGTGTATATGTGTGTGCGTGTGTGCATGTGTGTGTATGTATGTGTTTATGCTGTGTTTGTGTGCATGTGTTTGTGCATGTGCGCGTGCATGGGTGCACTTGGGTGCATGCATGTGTGTGCGTGTGTGTGTGTGTGTGTGTATGTGTGTGTGTGTGTGTGTGTGTGTGTGTGTGTATGTGTGTGTGTGTGTGCGCGCGCCACAGAATGAGAGTGAAGGCTAAAGGACAATTTTTGGAGTTGGTTCTTTCTTTCCACCATCTGGGGTCCTGGGAATTGAACAAACAAACAAAATAAGTAAATGTAATTTCTTTTTTAGTTTAGAAAGTTGTAAAAAAAAAGGGGGGGGGCTTTTCTTTGCCAGATGTAAAAGCCTAATATTAGCTGCAATAATTAGGTAATAGGACACTGGTAGAAAATAAATAAATGTTTGTGTAAGGAACAGACATCTCAGAAACAGACAAAGCCTACCGAGAACTTGTCATACCTTACTATAAAGCTGGCGTTAAGGACCAGACGAAAGCAGGAATCACCTAAATGTTATGTTGGATAAGCTGGTTATTCTAAAGAAATCAGTACCTTTTGTAAAATAAGTTCCAGATTGAGTAAATATAACAAATAAAACCACAAAAGGCTTCTAAAGAGTGTAGGAAAATCTGATTCATCTTAGATTGAGGAAAACCTTTCTAAGAACATCAGCAAAGGAGAGACTGGTGGACTCTGCTATACAAACATGCTGGGGGCTGGAGGGACAGCTCGTCACCAAAACACATGCCTGGATTCCAGAATTCAACCCCCAAACCCGCGTTTAAAAAATAGCCAGGCAGGGTGGCTCAGCCTTGCAACCCCAGCACTGGGGAGGTGGAGACCAGCAGGGAGCAGTCGCCCTAGCCTAATCAGCCAGCTCCACATTATAGGAGACTCTATCTCCAAAACGCAACAAACACAGAAGCCATGTAGTAGCTGAAAAGTAACACCTAAGATTGTCCTCTGGTCTCCACACACACATACGCACAATCAGATACACACACACACACACACACACACACACACACACACACACGCACGCACGCACGCACGCACGCACGCACGCATGCACAGATATACACAGACAGATACATATACACATACATACACACACACATAGAGACACAGATATACACACAGAGATAAATATACATGCACATACACACAGATACACATAACCACATATAGACATACACACAGATATGCACACATAGATCCATATACACACAGAGATACATACATAGACACACACATAGAGACACCTACATACACAGAGGGAGAGATATACAGATACAGATACAGATACACAGGCACACATACTGACACACAAACAGGCAGACAGACAGACAGACACACACACACACACACACACACACACACACACACACACACACCACATGTCTACACTGATGTCAGTATCCTCAAAAAAAAAATAGTGCAAGAAAAGCCCGTCACAAACTGCTCTGATTTGCATGTGATTTACATGTGTCTCCCAAGCACCTCAGTGTAATGCTACTAGAACATGCTGGAACCTTTAAGAGGCAGGGCTTGTGCTGGAGAGACGGCTCAGTGGCTAGAGTACATACTGCTCTTGCATAGGACCTGTGTTTGGCTCCCGCATCAGGAGACTCACAACCACCGGTAGCTCCAGTTCCAGGGGAACACCTTCTCCCAGCTTCTGAAGGGCCCTGCACTCACATGTACATAGCTGCACACAGACACACACATGTACCTGTAGTCAAAAACAAAATCACATTTTTTAAAAATGAGGTGGTGCTTAGTGTGGCGTGATTGGGTCACCAGTAACACTGTCCTGGGAAGGACTAACGCGGATTATCTGCAGCGACCAGTTTTCATGAGGATGGATTGTAACAAAGGAACAGCCCTGGCTCCGCAGTCTCTCTGCCTTGCTATTTGATTCCTTCCATCTACGCCCCCTCCATCTTGACACTAGCCACCGTGAGACCCTCATCATGGTGGGGCAGAAGTCAGCTCTGTGCTCTCAGACTTAGAGAGATGTGAGCTGAGTAAACCTCTTTATTTATATAAAGTACCTGGCCTGGGACATTTTGTTATAACACAGAAATGTACTGACATAACACATGGCAAATGTTTGCCTTATGTATGAAAACAAGGGTACTCTATAAAAGCTGTTTAAAAAAAAAAAAGAGGGCCAGCAAGGTGACTCGGTGAGCAAAATTATCTGCTACCTGAATTTGATTCCTGAGACTCGCATGATGGAAGGAGAGATCCAACTCCTGCCAACTGTCCTCTGACCACCACATGTGCACCTACCTTGTCATGCATGTGCTCACCAAGATAAAGACATGTTTTTAAAAATCTCATGCTGGCTGGGGAGCAGACGGGTAGGATTTGGCAACATGGTACACACATGTACACAAACAAACAGATAAATAAAGAAAAGAAAACAACTAAAGACTTAAAGAGAGGCTGGGTGTGGTGGCTCAGGCCTTTAATCCCAGCACTGGGGAAGCAGAGCCAGGCAGATCTCTGTGAGTTCGAGGCCAGCCTGGTCTATGTAGTGAGTTTCAGGACAGCCAGGAAAAAGAGTGAGACCCTGTCTCAGAAAGAAAGGAGGGAAGAAGGGAGGGAAGAAGGAAGGAAGGAAGGAAGGAAGGAAGGAAGGAAGGAGGGAGGGAGGGA